CGATAATAACCTCCTGAGACATACAGCATAATTCCTATAGGCATATTAGTGTTACTGTCACAGGTTTTCGCTTTTTGTCAAAATTACCTCTACAATGGCAAAGAAGCTATTCATCTGAAATTAGATGGAGACTAGGAGAATCAGTAGATTTAGCAAATGTCCCTAAATGACACATTTATGTTCTAGTGAAGTAGTTCTTTTAAAAGGTCTAATAATTGGCATGAAAGGCAAACAGGAAGTAAAGTGACCTCTTTTTCATTGGAACCATTTCCATGCACTGCTAGCACCTGCACGTTACCATCAAACGGGTGAGCCCAAAGTTGGAAACACTGATGTCAGTGGCTCTGGGAGGTGCCATCGTAGTTAATTTGCCAATGACCTGCAGATTCTTTTTGCCATGATTTTTTTCCTGTCTTTTTTACCCCAGCTTTTGATACATAATGCTATACAATGTTGCTTGTCGATCTAATCAAAATGTAGATTGCTTCTCCAAAGACAAAAGGCAAAACTGGCACCCGAGCCGTAACAGTAACAACACGGACACGGTGTCGGAAAATGTGGAAAGGGTCAGGGAGAATGTTAGGGGCAGATAGATGGTTAAAAAAATGAAGCTTGAGGACTTGATCCATATTTTATATCTCCTGTTATACTCAGGGTCAGCACAAGTATGGCATATTCCAGCACATACTGGCCAAGAGGTTGGCTCAACCCCAAAGTAGCTACCAGCCTTAAAAGAACAGAAACATCTTGAGCGCCATGTAAATACTTCAAGTAAAAGCGAAATGAACCATATTATGCTGTCAGATCTCTCCCCTGGAGCAAACGAACCCACTAGACCTCCTCTGCTCTCATCACTGTGATTTGCACAGTTCGAAGTTTTGCGGTGTCTAGCCAGAACTGAGATGTCCTTTAGTGCTCGTAAGCGTTCATGCTACAGAGTGAAATGTGTCCAAATCTCGCAGACATATGTTTGCTCTTATTCTCAAGAACATATGGAACCTATAGTGGAGTGGTTTCCGCACTGGTGTCAGCAAGGATATGGTTTCACCCAGTGTGACGTGGACACCTACGAAGTGGGAAATGCCTATTTTATGTGCTGATTGTGACTTTACATACTTCTACAAAATTTTCTCAAACTATAAATAGTGAAGTAATTACCTATTTACTTATTTTGTACTTGTGCTATCATTCATGTAAACGAGTCCATTGTACACCGTGCAACCACTCAGGCTCACAAGCACACAAACACAGTCAGCATAGCCTCTTTCAGTCTCCTGAGCGTGATCTTCTTATTCCCTTATTTGATGTTATGTACTGCATGAGCATGCTGAATCCTGCCACATTTTTAACTGCATCAGCACAACCTCGAGGGCAAGTTCAGCAAGTAAAACCCTATACCTTAGTGTACTTATGAATTTTGTAAAGTAGAGCTTTGTAAAATATGCCCACCTTGCTTTGAAGACACCTGCATGAAGGAAACATTAGAGGCCATGTGACTGCATATGAGCTTTAATACAGTTCAGGTCATGCACTGACCCAACCCGAGCTTCTGTTTCTGAATATGTGTATTTTGACGTGGTCTAGCTGTATATCTAAGCAGTGCCAGGTGTGTGGGATTTAATTTACAGACTTCAGTTTGTGAGGGTTCACGCTTAGGCGACCTCCTCCCTTTCTCTGAGTGATTATATGTGTGTCCACATGTGCCTTAGACACTATTAAGCCTCAGTCCATCTTAGTTTGCCTGGAGTTAAAGTTTGCACCTGGTCTAGTCATAAAAAGGTAGTTAGTGTAATGGCTTTTAAATGAGGCTCCAAACGACCCAAGCTTTAACATCAAACATTGATAAATCCCTTTATAGCAACTCTACAGCTATTTTCAAGTCTTTCTGTGGGGTTGTCAACCAGCATATTCTTCTCACTGTCCTTTCGCCAAACCTCTCTGTGTGCAGGCGGTTGAACAAATACTCTGCTAGGCGACAGCAGATTTTACGAAAGCTTTGAATTTTTCTCAGTAATGTGTCGCTTACAGCTGCCTCTTTGGGTAACATAAACAAAGCTGTTTAAATCTCCTTTCCTCAATCTGATGGCCCACTTCTCTCTATTATCTAAACACTCAAGAATGTGGAAAACACAGATTCTTTTGGGCAAGAAAAGAGAGGATAATCTATGGCATCATTGCCATAATATGAGGTAATGAAACGGTCTCAAACCTAACAAAACAAGAGCCCTTTATTTAAGAAGAAAAAAAAATCTATCCTCATAGACCTCATCAGATCAGACTTTTTTTTGTTTTTGTTCTATAAATGTTACCGTGGCTGTCGTTTTTATTTTTTCTACATCTTAAGCCAAAAATATTTTTAGGGGTAATAAGCTGGCTCCTGACGTAACTTTGATTCACTCTTTCGTCTCACATTCTCAGACTCTCTTCCTGTGGTTTGTGGTGTTTGTTGTTCCCTTCTTTCACCTTGCCTCTTTCCTTTAAGTGCGGCTATAGTGTCTTTGGGTAAAGTACCAGTGCATCTGAAATAGCACGGTGAGTCACTTGGGTGGTCAGACGAGGCGGACTCACATGGCGAGATGATTTTCCACAAGTGATTCCAGATTGCTGACTAGTAACAATTAGTAAGTGATATGTAAGCTAGGGGTCTCTCGAAACTTTGGGGAGTCCACTCGCTCTGTGTTTGCTCTGCCCTCTCACCTAGGTGCTGTTTGCATGTCAGCCAACTTCTGCATTTTGCCCTGCATGTGCATGCTTTTTGTGAATGCAGTGTGATTTTTGCACGAGTGTGTGTGAGACCCAGGGTTAGGTAGAAACTTTTAAGCCGCAAACTGCTTGCATTTAATAAAGTCAGATCAGGTGGTAAGGTAGCAACAGTCACCATGACACAACCAGTATCACTAACTGTTATCAGAATCATGGTGACAGGCAGTGGGTAAATGCCTTAGCAGGGACTTGAATCCACCTGATGTCCTCTCTCTCTCTCCGCAGCGTGTGTGTTTCTTTTTCTTCCTGTCTCCATCTGGTTATACTCTTATCTCACATGGAGTGTGACGGGAGGGGGGAGCTGGAGTGATTAAACAGACTGCTACTCTTGTGTCAGGTGTCTTTCTGTATGTGCCTGTGCATGCCAAATGCTTGTTTGTTGGATTGTGCGTACAGTTATGTAGCTTGTGCGTGTTGCCATATTTTTATGTAACAAACCCTACAATGTTGAAACAAACTCACACTAATTGGGAACTAATCCTGCGACATTTATAGTAGTTGTGTTTGTATTTCTATATCTGTGTCTCTGTCAGCATGTGAGGTAAGATTGAAAGGTTCTCATCCTCACTATCTTTGTCATGTTCTAATAATAACTTCACCATGAGCACTGAGATCATTTACAGAAAGCTTTAACACGGTATCACTGAAAAGATTTGTCTCTGACATTTTCCTGCAGCTCAGTTTTCTAAATGCATTTCAATTCGCTTATGAGTCGCATGTCTTTATTTAATCTACATCTGCAAACATGCATCGATGCAGAGAAAGTGTTTGCATGCGTTGGCAGTTAGGTATCCCCGATATAGTGCTGGGAATGATATAATTTTGCAAATTGCTCCCTATATGATCCCTTTGTCTGTGTACACTAACATGTGCTACTGTCCCTGTGAACATTCACCCTCCTACGCCACCTATTTATAACCCTGAGTAAACAAAATGGATTCACAAGAGGAACTCTTGGGATAGGTACTTTTTTCCCCTCTAAGAAAGTTGCCTCCCTGCAGGTTATTGGGTACAACTGTATACAGACCCATGTGGATGTGGCCTTACATATGCTTTGACTATGGACTATCCAGCAGAGATGATTTCATATAAAGAAGGAAATTGTCACTGTGGATGGATAAATATATTCTTTCGGTGTCTGAGGCAAGCACTCAGCAGCCTGGTTTCTACCACCCAGTGTAACAGGCCCAACCATAGCTTAAGGTACTCATTATTGACTGTAATATCTATCCATTTTCTAGCATCTGTGGTCTGTTGGCACACATTTGCCATTAGGAATCATTTCTCAGCCGAGCTGCACTTTCAAATAAGCCTTTCATCGTGATTATCAGTATTTTAGGTTGTTTGGCATAAATTTCCCTTCCCCTGTGGTTTTAAAGTGGTAATTGTTTTTGTGTGGGAGCAGGACCATGCTGCATTGAGTGGGTTATGTTTAGAAGACTTGCAGTTTAGCTGTAATTCTTTTTCTGCTGTCCACTTATAAAACACCTGATCACGAGAAATGCTCAGCAGAGCGACTGCAAATGAAGCAACTTGTGATTTTCTTTCAGTTACTTTTTTACATATTACTCAACTTTACTTGGAGGATGTCGAGGGAGCAAAGAAAATATAGTTTAGTTTTAAAGTGTATGCATTAAGTTAGTATAAGTATAGCTGAATAAGTTTAACTGCATCACTTGTTTTGTTTTCTGTTATTCTGTGCATAACTTGTAACTGAAAAGATGCAAAGATAAAAGTTAAAAATAGCAGATGACAGAGTAGCGTAGGCTAAATGTAGATGCTAGTTTCACAAATGATTCCCTATTCCTTTTATGGAGTCTGTCAAATGGCTAGAAAAATATCTGTGTGTGTGTGTGTGTCTGTGTGTGTGTGTGTGTTGGGGGGAGGGGGGGTTCAAGACTATAACTCTACAGTAAGCTTATTGCGCAGAGAGACTGGACAGAAACGTTAGCATGTTTACGTTTGCTGCTAAAATGCTAATACGCATATTAGCACAAAACACAAAAGGTGCTGGAAGTGTTATTAGATTTTCCAGCATATTTGGCCATAAAGTCAGGTAATCACTAAAAGGAATGCAAATTATTCTGAGACATGAGTGGACTAGTTTGCAGACCATACTGTTGAGCTGACGTTGCGCCTCTAAACCCTATCCTATCAATGCTAAAGAAATGCTTTCTTTACCTGCAAGCCTTGGATTCCAAATATAAACATACTGACCCTCTGTGTCCCACTTGCAGACCAAGCTTCCTGTACTTCTGCTGGGCCGTTCGTCAGATTTGAGGCCAGGAGAGTTTGTGGTTGCTATTGGCAGCCCATTTTCCCTCCAGAATACGGTTACTACAGGAATTGTTAGCACTACTCAGCGAGGGGGCAGAGAGCTAGGCCTTCGCAACTCTGACATGGACTACATTCAAACTGACGCCATCATCAACGTAAATAAATAAAGCTGAATTGTCATTTCTCACTGAATTTCTTTTCTCGGATTACTACAGATAAGTTATTTACTTTTTTGGTTCACAGTACGGCAACTCTGGAGGGCCTCTGGTCAATCTGGTAAGCCAGAATTATATATATGTTTTTATGCTTCTACAATTCACCATTTACAGTCACTGAGTTGAGGTTTACTGGCATAGGATGGTGAAGTGATTGGGATTAACACGCTGAAGGTGACAGCGGGCATCTCCTTTGCCATACCCTCGGACAAGATTCGACAGTTCCTGGCCGAGTCATACGACAGGCAGTCCAGAGGTATGAGCTCTCACTGACACATTATTAATGTTCTCATTTTACTGGCTCTCTTCAATCACTTTTAGTATAGGAGCCAAGAGAGCTGGACCGTGATCTCAGTTAAATGAGCTATAATTCAGCTCACTAGTTCAGGAGTTTTTTTCGTTTTCATCTTTGTGTGATCTCTTGCGATATGTTCACTGTATTTAGAGCTATGGGAATCCATGCCCAGCATTACCTAATAGAATTTTGACATTACAATAAACTAAAAAGAAAAATCTGTGCCAGTGCATATTGGTTTGTTTGTTTTTATTTTATGCTTTTTGCCCTTTTCATTGAGTAGTGTTTCATAAGAAATGAAATTCAGAAACTTACCTATATAAAGCAGACTTCACCTGATCCATGCAAATCAAAAAGGAAAATGCAAGTTGGTGTTTTCAAAAGCTTTTATAGACCAGCACTATAATACATATATAGTAAGTACATTTGATAATACAGCTATTCCTCTGACAGCAGTTGCCTGTCTGCAAAAGTGTCCTGATAAGCTGTTGAGAAATTGTTCACCTTTCCCAGATGTGTGCAGCCTGCAGCTGTGCAGTGGACATGAAGACCCAGCCTGTCTCAGACATGTTTAGTAGGAAACATATCAGGACTAAATGCTTGCCAAGAAAGTGCATGAATATCCTCCTGATCCAGAAAGTCCTGCACTACTGTGTCAGTGTCAGACATTGTTCTACTATTGTTCTACTAGCAGGGTGGACAGCTTATCTCAGCATCTCTGTCCAGACTTCCAGAAAGACCAATCAGATCAGAGTTGATGCTCATATGGAGATGCAAGGCTGCAGCAATAACTCAGACATGCATGCCAGCATCCACCATGCCAGCATCCCTGCCTTGGTCACAGGTGCAGCATGGTGGCAATGATGACAGTATTGAGCATATGCTGTTCTGAGGCCACTGCCTTGAGAATGCAATACCCTGAACCAATTCTGAGGTGGACAAGTGAGTTCATGTAATTGTTTGTTACACAAATGACTAATGCCTCCGCTAAGTAAAACCAGTGAACCAGAACAGAAAGCTACTCACGGGTTTTCTAAATGATGTACTGAGAAAAGGATCTCAAACAAAGATTCGAAACATATTTCACAGCGCAAAACCTGCATTTCTTATTTTCTTTATACCCTTTGAGATTGTTCACAGATTCGGCTACGTTTGAATCGCTCTCTAGAAGTCCTGTTGTGACACTCACTTGTAATGTATGCTGGCTGTCCCTCACTTTGTCAAAAACAGTGAACCTTCTAGTTGGATGAAAGGGACAAAGACACTGGGAGCTAAATATGGCTCAAGTAGGGCTGGTGAAAGGTGAAGATTGTCTCAGTCCTTCTGAAAACGTGCTGTCTTTTCAATAAAGTGCATATGCTACAGTTTTGGGAAAGTCCCTGCCACTTTGTTTCCCCTCTGAGGCCCCAGGATGTTGCAGTATAACTCCAACTTGACAGTCTTAGCCTCGAGGTCGAGCTGAATTCACAGTGCACATCCCATTGAATGCTTGAAAAAATGATGATGATTCCCCTGGTCATATTCCTTTACTAAAGCACTGCCTTTGGGCAATGAAACTGCAGACTCCAACACAGAAAAGTGCTTTTTGGTCTCTGGTTTGTAGCTAGAGACCCAGGTTAGAAGATAACTGAATATTCTATGTCCAGCCTTAGGGAGAACAGAAGCAAAGAAGAAGTATATTGGTGTGAGGATGATGACTCTCACTCCAGGGTAAGTTGCACACTTTTATGTACATAGCCATTGTGTTCAATCCCCAGAATGCAATAAATGAAACATTGTATTATACCCAGGTCACAGGGAATTGCAGAATTTTGTGTTTAACTCTCTCCTTTTTTCCCCTTACCATTAGGCTAGCCAAAGAGCTGAAGACTCGACTCCGCGACTTCCCTGACATCACCTCGGGAGCTTATGTTATGGAGGTCATTGCAAAGACACCAGCTGCAATGTAAGCAATATATTATAAGTTTCCAAAGACACTGGCTCTGTAGAAGCTAACTTGATTGTAACTTTATGGATCTCAGTGAAGTGCAAATGGAGGTTCTATCTGACTCTAGCTATGGGATATTGTCTTTGGCTCGTAATACAATACATCTGCACTAAATTCACACAAGACTCTCATCACTCTCCACGCAGCCCCTGCTCGCCTCTCGAAATGCAAATAGATAGTATATTTCATTTCCTTTCTTAATTTTCTTTTCCTAGTTTAACCATCAAGAGGTTGCACACATGCCCAGAGCTTCCTACATAGCTGTCCTACTAGGATGTGAATTAATGGCTCACTCTAGCATGTCTAGAGTGCCTGGCCCTCTAAAATATCCCCCTCCTCCCACAATTGCGGCCCACTCCAATCAGCCACCACCACAACTCAGCAGAGTAGGGCGCGGGAGACGCTGAGGTCAGCTATTTCCTTCAAACCTCATGCAGGGAGGTTAGTAGCTGAACTGTGGTTTTCCTGCGCCTGCTCACCCATCCCACTATATAGTGGTCTGTCCTACATGGTTTCATCAGTGTTTACTCATTGCTTAAATAACCCACCCTTTTGCATTATAACATTTCTGTGGTTCCTTTTATATTCTCTGTTTTTTTTTTTTTGCTTTTTTCACTTTTGATCTCACTCTGTGTTATGTTGGTTTATGGACTTTGGAATCTTGATTCTTCTGTAGGGAAGGGATTGTTTCTGTGTCGACCGAGTGCACTGAAATCCCAGTTTCAGCTCCGTTAATTGATGCTGTTGCAAGTGAAGGTGTGGTGGTCTATGTTTACATGTGGCTATGATTAAGCGGTTGTTTTAAGAGTCTGCTTTTGATATCACTGCTGGTTACTGCCTCAGTCTGTGCGTGATCCCCATTTTACTAGTTTGTTTTTTACATTGGAAGTGTTCTTTTAGTCAGTGTGTTTTTATTTTTGTCAACAGATGTTGATATAGAGGCTCACAGACCTGGAAACAATCCTACCAATAGCTGATTATGGCTATATAAAATGAAGAGTATTTCACCTCTATATTTTCTTTCCACTGAAATCTAAAGAGGGAACTATAGTTAAATTACATAAGAAGATGTATAAATTGTCATAAAACTAAACCACTAATGTGTTAAGGCATCTACACCCATGAACATTTATTTCATTTGATCATTCAGATTACTTTAATAGCTAATTTAATTCATTTAAAAACATCACAGATTTTCTTAAAATGTAACACAATGGAGGATGACCAAATATAAGCTTCAGTTCATATACGTGGAAATAAAGAATAACAATCAGTTCAGTGATTGGTATGGGATTTATTAACAATAGGATAAAACCAGTGGACTGATATTTTTATTTCCTACGTTCCTATGATTTTACAGTATTTTGTGCTTTGTTAGTCAACATACAAAAAAATAGTGTATACAGTGATAGAAGGTGACATGGAACAGCTGGACTTGATAAACATCTGTACACCTCCTCAGAGGCTAAAACTGTGCCTTGATGTCATAAAACTCAACTAGAATAGCCGGGCTCAGAAAACAAAGATCATCCTATTCGCACATGTTTTTCCATTTATGAACCCCTCAATCATCCTTTCTTCTTCTGTCCTCCAGCGCTGGACTCAAAGAGCATGATGTCATCATCTCGATCAACGGCCACAGGATTTCAACAGCAACCGATGTCAGCGCCGCCATCAAGAGAGATGACACCTTAAAAGTGGTTGTGCGCCGTGGCAATGAAGACGCCATCCTCACTGTTGTTCCCATTGAAATTGACCCTTGACCCTCCAGAAATCACACCGCAGTTGCTGGAGCTAGCTTTTACTTATCAACAGTGGACCTTATATCGGAGGGGTTTTTTACTGACGCACCCTCTCCCTGTGGCCAAAGGCCGGTGGTGCCTCACATCCAGGAAAATTCTGGCATTGCCTTGAATGGAATGACTGTACGGATGCTTTAAAAGCAGCGCTGTACTTTGTTTTCCCTGTGTGTTCTCATGTTTAGACTTTAATGCTTTGATCAAAGCTACTACTGTGTGTTCTTAAACCTTAAAAAAATAGTCATTGGCATAGTGTTTTCACCTGCTTACTCGTTTTGTTGTTGTTGTTGTTGTTTTTTTAATGTACTGTTGCTCAGTCAGGCTGACTGAAATTTGAAGCAATTTTAAGCGACTTGCTGAGCAAATCATATTTGTAAAATTGTTGTTTTCTAAACTCCCCCCCCCCTTTTTTTAAAGTACTGTAGAAATACTTTGTTGTTTATGTGATGTATACTGGAGAAGAAAATAAAGGTTTTTTACCTCCATTTGCTTTGACACTCTGCTTACTGCCTTTTAAAAAATGCTCTTTCCAGCTCTCTTTCATTCAGTTTAATACACACATAAACAGTGTTGGCCAAGTTACTTGAAAAAAGTAATCAGTAACTAATTTCTCTCGTGCATATGCACACAGAAAGAGGGACATAGAGCGTGTTGGGATCTGGTTTAAATTTGCTTTTATTGCCTTCATATGGGCTTGATAGTGGTCTGGTGTGATTGTTGGGACAGGGTCTCCACAGACTGACCTCAGAGACAGGAGTGCGAGCCAAACTGAGATCCGACCCATGATGCAGTGGTCACAGATGTGGGGCTCGCATAAATACATTTAATGTTTTGGTGGAGATTTTTGTTTACCACATATAGTGAAGTAAACCTCATGAGACCTGCAACTGCAGCTTCAAGCTATACAAGACAAAGTCAAACGCACCGTCTATTATGCTGCATGTATTAGAAGATAAAATTGCACTTCAACAGCTTTACGAGTAAGTCTAAATGACAGTGGAACATATTTTGTCATGCAGTGGTCGGCTTCCTAGTTTTTACTTTTAAATTGCAGACCATGTGTCCAATAGCTTGTGGAGCTTTATCTCGCCAACTGCCCAATTTTCCATTTACACAAAGCACATGGAAGCTATATTACAAAGTCATCCTTTCAAATGTCAAGTAGCCCAAAGGTGTATAACGTAATTAAACATTATTTAAATGACATAATGGACATTTTAATACATTTGATAATGACATATACTACATTTATAAGCACTAAGCAGTGTTGCTGCCATCTCATGGATTTGTCTCAGTGTTGCAGTCTGTCGTTCTAGTTTAAAAATCCAACTTTGCTGTGAACATTTTGGACAGATGTTACACTCAGCATTGAAATTCAATGTCTGCATTTCACTTGGCGATGCCACAGGTTTGTGACTCACTTGCTCCAAGACTGCAAAACATCCAGAGGTTACAGAATACATACGGTGCATTTGAATGAGCTGTAAAGTTTGCTCGTTAATGAAGTCATGACTGCCAGATTGCCAAGACCTGAGCTCAGAACCATCAGTCAAACATGGTCGTATTACCTCACCACCTCTGGGCTTTTGATGTGGACTGACTGTCTCTTTTCTGGCCCAAATACATACAAATGTTTGTATGTTTAACTGTAATTAGGTTTCATCTATCTGCCTCTTAATGATCAACCATGTTATGTTTGTCCAAATGTTACAAAAATAATCACGGGAAACAAAGTGACTAAACATTTGGCTAATTGTGGTCTATGAATCCTCCGATAAACTAAAAAATATGTCAGTGTATTATGTTGACAGTTTGTAGTTTATATCAGGAGATTAATTAGTGTGACAGCTGTTTCCCAATCACAATATTATATTAACACTATTTGTGTTATTTACTTTTTTCATTAAGTGAAATGGGTGGGATCCATCTGAAATTCAAACATTTCAGGCGGATCCTGTGGGAAATTAGTGTCTTGCTGTTTCTGAACTGAGGCCAGCCATTTCCACAAAAGATTTTCATGCTTTTAAGGAGATGTTGTGAGGTTTGTTCTGGATGAATAATGCTCAGTTCAGTGTTGATACAGTTGGGACCACTTGGCCCTGAAGACCCAGGCTGTTGGAACGAACTATGTATTCATTTGACACCATCTGTGCCCCAGGCTAGTGCCAGCGTGGGTGATATATACATGATTTCTGTTTACAGTATGTTGGATGTGTTTAAAAATTCACTCCACTGGGTATAGAACAATCAGATTTGGCAGCATACAACAACATTTATATTGATCGTGTAAGATATTATGTTATGCTAAGAAAACAACTAGAAGAATTTAAGTAACATAACACTCTTCCATGTGTCTGATATGAAAATCAAGATAAAAATACTGTGAAAATTGGAATTCTTCCTGTTTGGATGTATTACCTTAAGTATCCTAATTTGAAGTAATTACAGAAGATTGTTTTTCCTGGATTAAAGCATTGGCTCTTTCAAATATTTATTTTTTAATTTTCTCACTTAAATCTAAGTGTGTGTAGCCATCATGTGCCTTTTTGTTTGAGACATAATTGCAAGTGGCCCCATTAAAACACATCCTCAACACAACGAACTTTTACATTTGGGTCCAAAAAATAAAATTAAAAAGGCTCAGCAGTGCTGTGCAAAAGTCTCGAGCCACTACTCTTTTCTTCATGAGTTCTTCAGGCTATTTGAAGGTCTTTCAAACATAAAAGGGCAGGGAACAGCCAGTGTTTATCTTCATATATTAGACAATTTTGCCAAGACATAATTTTAAACTGTAACTTTGGGCATTTTGTTACGAGCAACGGGTCACAAAAACATCTTTTGTTTCCCTTTTTTTTATAGAACCTTTAAAAATTGTGAAAGATAACACAGTTCAACAGACATAAAACTGTATTTTTGAACCATAACGTTCATTTTCAAAGAGCTATTTGCTGAAAACTTTGCATACCTCAACATAGTGTCAAGGGTGTCCTAAAAAATTGATAAAGCTGGATAAGTGGAGGACAAAAGAAATGGCTGGCCTAAAAACTGCCTACATTAAATGAACAGTAACTGAAAGTCATGTCCTTAAGAAATAGGAAACAATATATATGCAAAGACCAGACACAGCAACCCGGCGGTGTTAATGATCTTGTCAAAATGTATCACAATATGAATGCAGACCTGCCTTGCAATACTGAAAAGCATCTGTTTAATGAAAAATAACTGTTTAATTTTGCAGCATAAAAACAATCCAAACTCACTGCTAATGTAGTAAAACATACTTCCATGGAAAAACACAAAAATATAAATGAGAGGTGGAATTTGACGACATTTGTACAGTATTGCATGTGTAAAGGGTTTCATTAGAAGAAGATTCGATTCGGAAATTAGACCCTTTAAGCTGTTCACAAATGTTGTATAAATTGAGTGGACCGATGCGAATATTGAGTGGACCTTTTTTTTTTAAAATTTTGCGTCTGTTCTTTCCCATAGAAGGTCTATGGATAGACCTAATGCCGATCACGGCCGTTCATTTAGCTTCTCTTTGGCACGTCTTCAAGTTCAACCCAACCAATGTGGTCCTCTTGCGCCCCCTATTGTTTGTTTTGGTTTAATTTTTAAACCAATCGAAGTCGCGTTTGCTCACAAAGTCTCAACGCACAGGAAACCTTTCCTGTTGCTGGTTGGTCGATTGCCTTCGACCAGCCCCCTACATGAGGGTCTTGCCAAGCATCGAGGAGGGAGGGGATATTTTAATGGCCGTCCGTAGCACTACAAAATGCAAAAAGTCCGGATTATCTACCATATATAGACTGTTACAGACACCGATGCGTTAAGTACGCATTTCTGTGTTGATAAGCATCGCTGCGTGGACATATTCGGAATAGAGATGTCTTTGTAATGGTGTTTGTACTCTGCTGAGCGGACTTTACCCGCTTGATTTGTGTGCGAGTGGGAAATCAGGCCTAGCCGGCTGGCTAAAAAAACAAGCGGACGGTTAGCCTTTCGCTGGAGTTAAAAGGTAACACTGCATTATTACTCATTTGTAATTACGGACGATTTCTGCACCATAGTATTTCCATTCAGACCATTACGTCAAAAGACTAAAACTTGTTTCAAACGCAAGGTTTCTGACATTTGAGGCAGCCAGGTGAGAAATGTAAACAGACTTACGTTAGCATAGTTAGCCATGTTAAGCTAATGGCTAGTGGCTAACTTTATAGTAGTTAACTTTACAAACAGGGGCTGACTGAGCTAGAGTTAACACAGTACTTAGCTGTCCTGTAAGTATGTGCTGATAGGTAAAGAGTTTCAAATTGTATTAAAGTTGCTCTAAATCGTTCAAGCTTTCTGTCGTGTTGCTCACATTTACCGATGATGGTTTGGAAAGCTATACCGCTTGAGCTAGCTATGCTAACTTTGTGCGCTACCAGCCAACAGCTGAAACATAACTTAGCCGGATTAATATAAATAACATCCCCCAAACCACTCATGACGATTACAGCCTGTTTTTGTTTTATGTTTTTTTAAACACTCCTTTGCTAAGTCGTTCGTATCAATTTAAGTGCGCAGATTATAATGTTCTTGATGATCTATTGGTATAGTAAATGTTTTATTGTCTCTGCTGCTGTTCACAGGGAATATGTAACATAGAGCAGCCAACATGACATCCAGATTCGGCAAAACGTACAACCGCAAAGGTGGGGAGGCTAACTCGAAATTTGAGGAGGTCTTTTCCAATAAAAAGCCCACTCTGACCACCAAATGGGGGGAGACCACCTACAAGGCTCAGCTCGGAGCCAAACGGCCTTTGTTAAAACCTGACGTTTCTGAGGTCCCCAAAAGGCCCAGGCTTGAGGACAGTGATAGTGAGGAAGACCCGTTTGGCTTTGACAGTGATGAAGAGTCCAAGACTGTAACCTCCCACAACGTGTCGCAGGCAAAAGTTGCTGAAGGGGAGGTGACAAAGACCACCACAGTGCAAAGCACTGGGACAGCCGCTGTTGTGACTTATGCACAGTCCTCTGCATGTTCAACAGCCACATTCACGAGTAAGTTTTCAGTTTTTCCATGCATTTTTTTAACTCCTTATCCAAATTTATTTTAACCTGCTTATTTAAGTTTTACAGTGATTTCTAACTATTATAGAAGCATAGTAGTTCCTGTCTTTTGTTTAAACAAACCTGCATGTATCTTCTCTTTTGTTCAAAGGCAAACAAAAAACAGAGGAGAAAGTAGGTAAAAATAACCAGCCGTGGTACAAAAGTGAATTGCAGAGCAGCCAGAAACCTGCATGGGGGACCTCTTTGTCAAGCACAGTCCTCTCTGATGATCAGAACTTCTCCCAGAGGTCCACCTCCTCCTCTCCTAATATAGACACATCTGTTAAACTGTTCACTGATGTGCCAGGTGGTAGCAGGGACTTCCAATCCTCATCTTCTTGTGATGGCTTGCTGTCAGATGAAATGAAAGGTGCAGAGGTGGA